GCTCGCGGCGCGGGGCCGGCGCGTAGCGCGGCTGCGAGGCCTGCAGCTCCGAAAACTTCTCTGGGTGGATGATTTTCATCGCCTCCATTTTAATGATGACCTGTTGCCCTTTCAGACACGACATGAGTATTGTTTTCACATTACTGTCCACTGCTCTGGGGTCTCTGAGGGACGCCTGCATGAGGCTAAAACATGCTGGCAGCCTGCGGAGCTTTCAGTCTTGGTCTGGCTGCAGAGCAGGAGCACGGGGAGCAGCTGCTGGCGCGGGAGAGCATCCTGGGGAGACGGGGCAGCGCCAGTGGGCCCCGTGCCCCTCTTCTCCAGCCAGCCCCGAGGGTGCTGGGTGCAGGGCTGAGGTGGGCAGGGGAAGGCAGGGCTCACAGCAGCATCCTGCCCGCCTTGGAGGATGGTCTTGGACAGGCGATCAAAGCGTTGGCTCCCTGCAGTGCCTTGCCGGGATGTTAATGTGACATTGGCCGTCACTCGGCAGCCCCCCCTTCACCTTCACAGGCAATTCTGCACCAGATCAGCTGCAGTAGGGAATGGTAAATTTGGGATCGTGGTGCCTGGTGCTCTTCAGGGCAGGTTAGTCGGTGAGGGTCTCGCAGGAACCGGTGGCAGCCCCCACCTCACCCTGGCGCCTGCCTCCACCCTGCCTTTATTCCTGTTTACATGCTCTGGGATCCTCGTGGTGCTAAAGAATGTTTGCAAATTCCTTTGGCCTGACTTCCCAGCTCTCCCACTTGCAGTCACCGGCAGCTCCCGCGAGGCAGGGGCTCAGGGAGCATCCCGCGCCGGAGGGCAGCTCACCTTGGCTGCTGCTGGGACTGCCATATGCCTCGTCCCCTCTGTCCCTGCCACCTCTGTCCCCGGCTCAGCTTCAGGCTCGCTGGAAATGAAAAGCAAGAAGGGGTTGGCTCCAAGGCTCCTCAGGGATCTACTGGCTGCCAGGGCTCCCTCGGGATGCGTGCCCACCTGCATCCCAGCAATTTGGCACCCAAGCCCTGCAGGTCCCATCCATCCGCCTGCGTGGCCGGGCTAGTGGAAGCTGGAGCAGGCAGGTCCTTGGCAGCCCTGAGTGTGGGATCCCGGGTCCCCCCTCTGCCCTGGGGGCCAGGAGGGCACATCCCCTTGTGCCCCTCTTGGATGCAGGGGCCCTTCCAGGGGGGCTCCCCCACCGACCTGCCTCTGCTCAGGGTTTTCTCTCACGTTTAGCCCCTCCTCTCCTCGGTGGATCTATTTTTACCTCCATCACTTGTTCCTGATCTGTCCCTGCTATTATCCCTTCCTCCAGCTGCATCTCCCCCTTCCCATCTCCCTGCCCTTGTCCGGGCGCTGCTGGAGA